CAGGATTCGCTCAAAGGTGTTAAAGCACAATGTTCTTTTACAACACCTGCAAATGGTTGGCCTGTTGTTTATTTTGGGTGATTTTGATCTGTGAGCTAGATATTTTTCATGCAATTTTTGCAGATAAATAGTTCAAGGAATGCTTTGATGTGTGTCCTCAATGATATTTTTGCTGGTGAGTCTATATCTTTGTATCTATGAATCTCGTATCTCCAGATTCAAGCTTGCTTTTCCCATTTGGTAAGATAGGGCCAAAATAAAGCTTTTCACGTAATTTCACATTGTAAATTAAAATGACGAGGGCTTTTGAAATAACTTTAGCTTCATCTCAATTTCTATTTCCATATCTGAAATTCGTGTTAGAACATAGTCTGTCAGTGTTTGTAATGACTGGTTACCAGGAAGGCGGCTGCCGGGAACAATTTCACAATTTCACAGTCTCACACGAGGCAGATCAAGCAAGTAGTTTATGACTTTTAGCAACCATTTGGGGGGCTTTTCCCCCCTTGTATCAACATCTGTCAGGATCCTCTGCCAATACTTTTGACGCTCTCTGACCTGTTTTCATTAATGTGACAGTATTTTACTTTTTAAAAAATTATTTGCACCTGATGTGAAGATTAGCTACAATTTTTAATCACCTTTATTTAGACCGATGGCTTAAAAAGCAGTAATAACACATAAAACAACCTGGATATAAGCAGAAGATATTGCTGTTTACTTAACCAAGAGGCTTTGTTAAATAACAAATGAACCGTTCATGTATATGTATGTTCCCCTTTTTAAATTAAAAAAAATTTTTTAAATTTAATTATTGTTCAAGGACAGTTCTCTGTTTTTGCTCCCATTATTTTAAGGGAGCTAAATTCTATAAGCACCACGTGTCCTTGTATTGAATTAAAATGTGAGAACTCCAATCAGATAAACTAACTCGTTATTACTAATTCTACTTTAGTGGTCTCAGTCCTACATATAAATCTCTGGTCTAATGTATTATGATAATATGACGGTAGTGTTTTCATTTGTCTAAGTTTTCTTGATAGTAGAGTTTTTTGATTGCACAGTCAGTATTCAGTCTTAAGCTAACCCGGTGATGTTTCGCTTTCCACATCCCAGCCGGCCACCCACACATCTTCCCCTGTGCGTGTTACTGTTCAGAATAAACACTCACACGCCTTCTGTCTTTGCCGTTGTGGAGAATGGGTCAAAATGCCGACATGGGCTTTTGGCGTGTGGATACAATCGGGTGCAAAGGGTCCCCCCCAAGTATGCTGACTGGGAGGTACCTGTGTCTTTGGAGTGATGGTCCAAGACCTGGAGTCTGGAGCCCATAGACCCACTGCAGGGCAGCTGTTGTCAAGCATTGCACCCCCAAAACCAAAGTTTTGGGGCAAGAGGGTGCCATACTGACACACACATGCAACCAGTGGGCAAGGAAAATGGATCTGGTGGCTTTTCATGGTCTCGGCGGCCCATTTCCTGGGGTGGGAAGCAGTCCGGGAAATTAATGCCTTTAGTCTCGTAGGCCCGAATCTTTATGATGCTGGGGAGAAGCTCGGTCCCGGGGCCTTCCTTCCCTGTTACACAGCTGTCCATTCAGGGCATGGTGTTGACGAATGGTACATGGCACAGACTCCTCCATTATTCCCCCATCAGCTGAGCATCGCAGAGATACCATCCTGGAAGAGAGAAGATGCTTTCTGTTCTTCAGTGAGCTGCACGCGTCTGCCTGAGGCAATACCAATGAACCCAGGAGAAGGCAATGCTTCTAACAGAAGCGTCCTGGCCTAGAAGACTCAAGTCTTACTTTCTGGCTGCCTGAATCATTTGGCTTCCAGGCTCAGGTTAAAAAAAAAAAGAAAAAAGAGAGATCAGCCAGGACACGTAGGTGTAAGGGCGTTTTGCAAAGCCTTTCTTTTTTTAAACCTGGATTTTTAGAAAGACGTGCAAGTCAAGGGTGAGGATCACTTCACCTGCCTTTCCAAAAGGAATCTACCAGGTGCGCTCTGTTCCTGCTGACCACCGTCTCTCCTGCAGGCAGCAGAGTGACAAGCAGGCTGCCGACTGGCTCAAGGTCACCTTCCAGGAAGGTGGAAAGTCCCTCCAGAGGGCCGTATAGTTTTGGCCTAGACATCAGGGAGCAAACACCAGCGACAGGTGAGTTGGGGGTGTGTTTTGTGTGCTGATTTCAGCCTGCGTATAACCACCGTTGGGTTCAGCTGGGCCCTTCTGTTTTGTCCTGTTTTGGCGAGATGCCCTTTGCAGGTAAGTGCCTAGAAGTTGTGTTAGAATAAAGAAGAAAAGGTTCCCTACTTGCAGGACCTGGCAGGTGCTCCTGGGCCACACCGAGAGAAAGAGAGAGAGAGAGGGAGAGAGAGACAGGGCTGCAGTTCTTCTACTGGGCTCTGCTCACTCTGTGTTCGTAAATTTAAAGCATAAGCTATAGTTTAAACTATAAGATTTAAAGTAAGGTAAGAGGGGAAAATGAGTAGCCTCAATACCTGCTCATGGAAAGCAACCGAGATATTCAGGTGCGTGGCTGGCAATGTGTGTTCCCCAGACACCCGAAAGTTTGGCAAATCAGAGCTTCGACTTGCCAGGGCTCACACGTACGAGATGTATGTGTGGACAGTACTATTGTCCCCACCCTGCTTTTTCCTTCCTATTGTCACCCAGTGCATGGGCTCTGGACTTTAAAGCTTCCTTTTCTAGTGGCCAGTGTTGTAGGAGTCAGTGAGTCCACCTGTGAATTCCATTCCAAATCATTTCTTTGAGTTAGTAATTACTCTTCTTTCTCCCTCCTTCCTTGCTTTCTTTCCTTCTGCTCTTCCTCCCTTTTCTTTTCTTTTCTTTTCTTTTCTTTTTTTTTTTTTTCTTTCTTTCTTTCTTTCTTTCTTTCTTTCTTTCTTTCTTTCTTTCTTTCTTTCTTTCTTTCTTTCTTTCTTTCTTTCTTTCTTTCTTTCTTTCTTTCTTTCTTTCTTTCTTTCTTTCTTCCTTCCTTCCTTTCCTTCCTTCCTTCCTTCCTTCCTTCCTTCCTTCCTTCCTTCCTTCCTTCCTTCCTCTCTCTCTTTCTTTTCTTCTTTCCTTCCTTCCATAGTTCTGATTCAATATGTTATTTTTTTTAATGTATGGTCTCTTCTTCCTCTTCAGCAGATGGGCTTTTGAGAAAGGACGTTAGTGTTATGCATGTAGCATCCTTTTAAGGTACAAATATGGGTAGCAGCATAGAGACCGGAGGTGGCTGTTTATTTCTTTTCTTTCATGGCAATGGATCGTGTTATCTTGTCACTGGGTCATCAGACCACACTCCCCTCAAATAGATAAGGCTCTCAGCTTCCTAAAGCTGAGATCACTACCGGGTGGTCGGCCCCTGGACCAATGGGCAAAGAGAGAAGAAAAGCCAAATCACCATCTTTTTTAGGGGGTCTGACTTTACTCCAGGTAGACTTGCTTAGATTGAAGTCTTTGCTTCCACTATACCGTAAGACTCCTCTGTCATCCACACATGTAGGTTTGGGGACTGAGCCCAATAACTCAAAAAAAAAAAAGCACCAAAAAAATCCCACAAAACTCCCAGGTGTTGGCATCCAGGCGTAAACCCTCCCTCAGGGCTCACACCCTGTCTGAGTCACAGAAGCAATTTTCCAGTGTGGGAACTAGACCTAAGTTCGCTGACTTCGGTGAGAGTTGCACAATGCATCCTGACTCAAGGTGAAGGTAACACACTTTTCTTTGCAGGACCATAACTTCAGCCACGACGGTAGGAAGGAACTCAGAGTCCCAGAATGATGGTCAGGTAAGGAAAGCTATGGTGAGGCACAGGCCTGACGTGTTTGCCTCATCGCCAGTGGGCAGTTTAGCGGCATTTGCGGGTTCAGATTTATATAGCTAGAGACATTGGGTGTTGGGCTTACTTTATGGGTTGGGTGTTGAATCTCTAAATTGATATTCTGGATTCAGTCAGTCTGTAGTAAAGAAAAAAAAGTAAGAGAGATTTAGGCAACAGGCACACATTTAAATGGCAGATTTCCAACACACTCATATTACAATAACATGCTGGGAAAAGAGGGGTTGGGGAAAGCGAGTTAATCAGTTTGGAGAAGATTAAAGGCATTTCTGTAGTCAACAGGTGAAGTCCTAAATGTAGAGTTGAAGTCTTCAGAGCATGAACGGTTTTGGGGGGAGGAGGTTTGGGAAAAGTAGAGGCTGCATCTCGAGTGACCGGTTGAGAGCAGAAGGTGTGAGGGATTCCTCCTCCCTCGCTCTTGGAGGGCATCTTTGAAGTCGGTTCTAGAGTATGAAGAAACACAAGATCAACACTGAAGCCATAGTTCCCATGACTGGTACCCATCACGTGACACCAGGCTAGGGACCCAGTGGGAGGAGAATGGCACATTTTTTGGGGAAAACAGGACTTGGATGGAGACAGATCACCGTTGGAAAGTGGGTTAAAGGAGTGTCCAGATTTCAGGCTCTTTCTTTTGCAGAATTCACTTCTCTTCCACAGCCTGCTTTTCCTTTATTCTGTGGTGCCTTTTTCTTTGTTTTCCTCCTCTTCTGCGAAACGTGGTTTGTTTTTTTTTTCTTCCGGTGAATCTGCTTCAGCCACACACACTTCTATTTTCATGTGCAGGGGTGTCAGGGAGACAGCCAATCACATAGCAACCTGACCTTAAGTGTAAGTCAGAAACCGTGACCGTATGCCCACAACCTAACCAGTGATACAACCTCTTAATTCTTAGCGCCTTTCACTCAAGGAAATGATGCTTTGTCTCTGGGTAAACAGACGTTTGCCGAGACAAAGAGCAATTAGTGTACATGAGTTTAACCTCAGGAGCACCTGCCTTTGAGGGCTGTGTAGGCCTGTCAATGGCAATGACCAACGTCCACTCGGAAAGAGCCTCCTGTGTTTTGGGAGAGGGGTGTGGGTGTCCAGCAAGCCCTGCTGTTCTCAGAGAAGAGGGTGTTGGCGTGGAATAGAGCTCCAGAAACCACCCAGAATGGTCCATTTCCAGCAAAGTCCATGCTTGTCTTTCAGGAGGCCCTTGGTGTGTCTGTCTTGGATGTGGTTTCTCTTGAATATGGCCCAGTCTCAAAGGCCAGAGGAGGACAAGCCTAATATCCTCCTGATAATGGCGGATGACCTTGGGATCGGAGACCTAGGCTGCTATGGAAACGATACGATAAGGTGTGTTGTTCGGGCTTGGACGGGGGGATGCAGGTCTTGACTCGTTCTCCGTGGAAAATCAAATCCACCGGTTGGTTTTCCTGTGATGGAGGACAGACTGTGGAATTGGACTCTGTCCCCATGCAATTGTAGAACAGGTACCTAACCTCCACACACTTGGATCTTTCTATCTATTCAGGGCACAGGGCAGGGGCAGATACCTACCCACAGCACTGAATCTCCACCTGGCACATCTGGGAGCGTGGGAGCCTGCAGACCATTTTTGACGAGTGGTGATTTTGATACGTGTTTTTAAAGTTTTTATTGAATTGATTGGGGTGACTTTGGCCAATAGAATTCTATGGGGCTCAGGCGCACAATTCTACAATACACCATCTGTGTACTGTTTGGTGTGTTCACCTCCTCAAGTCAAGTCTCCTTTTATCACTGTTTACTCCCCTTCACCTTCTTCTACCCCCCTCACCTTCTTTCCCTCTGATAATCACCACACAGTTGTCTGTGTCTACAAGGTTGTTTTTTTTTTTAATTAACCCCTCACTTTTTTTACCTCTCTGACAGCTGGCAGTCTGTTCTCTGTGTCTATGAGTTTTGTTTCTATCTTGTTTGCTTATTTTAGTCATTGGACTCCACACGTGAGTGAAATCATATGGTCTTTGTCTTTCTCTAACTGCTTCACTTCACTTGGTGTCTTTTTGACCCCAAGCAAAATGAATCATGCGTCCTAATGTGGGAGCCAAGAGACTTTTAGGGGGCAGTGCATTTGAACAATGGACACTCTGAAAGAACACAAACATGTGTCAAAAAGTTAGAGCCTTCTGGTGCCTTGGAAAACCCATGTACCCCAGCCATGCCATGCAAAACTGACCAGTGCATCTTGTTAAGATGTTACAGCTTGCATCCTTTTATTCTCTTTTGGTCTTGGCCTACTTTTATATTTAATCATAGGGTGGTTTTATGTCCTGTGTGTAGAGAAGGGACATTCATCTACCCAACCCTCCTCTGTAGGTGTGTAAGTCATTAGCCTTAAGTAACCAGGCCAAAGACGCTTCACCATAGATGTGGCCTCTTTCTCTCTATATATATATGCAAAGATATATACAACTTGCAGAACCCAATCCCACCCATCATGCAGAAAACAGCAGCCCCCCAACCAAAGCAGAATGAGCGTTGCATGCAAAGTTTCCTTTTCTGCCCTTCTGAGCCCAGGGAATTACAGTGAATGGGGATTTTTACCTTCTGATCTGCGTGTCTGTTGGTCTCTGTGTTTGTCTCTCTTCATCTCTGTCTCTGTCTCTCTGTCTTCACCTCTCACCGTCTGTCTGTCTCCGCGCTTGGCTCTTTCTCTCTGTGCCTTCCCCTCGTTCTTCTTCAGGTCTCCCTCTTCCTCCCTCTTTCCAGGACCCCGAACATCGACCGCTTGGCCACTGAGAGTGTGAAGCTAATGCAGCACATCGCCGCGTCTTCCGTGTGCACGCCCAGTCGGTCTGCCTTCCTCACGGGCAGGTACAGCATCCGATCAGGTGCGTTCGTGGGGAGGGTCTGCTCCTCTCAGCTCTCAGGTCAGGGTGGGAGGCGGGGACCCCGTGGCTTGAGCCGTGTGTAGCATCCAAAGGCACCATCACTCTCCTGGTCCAGTGTCAGCAGCTACTGAGGTCAACATTCCAACCTCTGTGCTTCTAACTGATCCAGGGCACAGGGCGTGACTCAGGGGTGTGTGTTCGTCTTGGGACGGTGGCCTTTTATTCCTGTGCCCCTTGACTGAGTGTGGCCTTGGCTGTTGACCTCAGGACAAAAGGGAGATGTTGCCGAGCCAACAAAACCTGGCTACCGTGAGACGGGAGCTCTCACAGTGTCCCCAAAGTTCGTCAGTGCATTGAGTTATTGTAAGCAAGGAACACCGTGTGTCTGCCTGTTCACCTGGGGGGGACACCGAGGTCCTGTGCCACTTTCAACTGCTGTGAGGAGTTCTACAAGGTTTTGTTCAACAGTGTTTTGCTCTTAGGTAGGTATTCTTGCCAATACCTACCTAAGAGTGGAAAGGGTGAGCCCTGTGGATATGTTCTGAAACATTTTTAAATGTATTTGAAAGAGAGGAAAGGGAGAGAGAACCAGAGAGAGAGAGAAAGAAGCATCAATCTGTTGCCCCATTTATTGATGCATGTAATGATTGATTTTTGTCTGTTCCCTGACTGGGGAATTGAACCTGCAACCTTGGCATATTGGCATGGTGTTCTAACCCACTGAGCTACCCAGCCAGGGCCCAGTTATGACTTGAAAGATGCATTCTTGAGGGTGTCCTGGAAACATCTAGGCTCCCCGAAGTTGACAACACTCTGTTAGCCGAGAATGAGATTAGTCAGGCCCCGTAAACATCAAATTACTAATTCTGTTTTTTTTCCCTTGTAGTAAACTGAAATGTGTTTGACTCTTTCTTTTTTTTTTAGTGCTCTCTTTATGTAAAAGTCGCGTTTTAGGAAGAGATGTGTTTCACGGACAGGACGCAGCTTTTAAAAACACCTAATTTCAAAGAGGTTTCTTTCGTGTTACATGGGAAATGAGGACGGCTCGCTCTCCGAGAGTTCCTGCCCTTGCCTACTCTCCTGATGTTATCTGGAACTTTTTTTTCTGTTGACCCACTCATGCTGTCCTCTGTTACTCCGTTTTGCTTCTGAGTGGGCCCTATTTCAGAAGGAAGCCAGGAGAGATCCACCTGGATGGTTGGATCCATGTAGACCTTGGTCAGGTCTAGTCTGCCCCGAAATGTCCAATATGTTCCGGATTCTAGCATCATTCTCCATGGACCTGAGCAATGACCCCCACCAGTTCCAGCTCCTTGCCGGGGACAGCTGTGGGGTATCCTGGGGTGTTCTTAGATTCCCAAGTCCTTCCAAAGCTCACTTTCTTTCCTCATTTCCTTCCCTATCAATGACAGGTCTTCTCCAGTCTCAAGATGACTGGTGTCCACCTGCTTGGCAAGTACGATTGTCATAGAAGATTCAAACCCGATGTGTCTACCCTTCCCACACGTCCCCCACTTCAGCTCTTACATGGGAACAGAGTTTATGCCCCCGTCTTAGACACATAAAACTAGACTCTAATGTCAGAAAGAACGTGTTAGTACAGACAGAAACGTTTGAAATGTTCAAAAAGCGTTCTTTTCCAACATCTCTCCCACCACGTAGATCCCCCCATGGAGGAAGGATGCAGGTTAGGAGTTCCATCAGCAATGGTCTGTTGACACCCTGCAGTCATGTGTGAAGACTTGTGTGGCCAGCATGTTTGGGTGTGTCTGAGCCTGCTGGGCACGTGTGTGCACACAAGCATTTCATGGGCTTTTGTCTTACGGGCCCAGGTGAGCTATGTCTTTGCAGAACATTATTTTTTCAGCCAAAGGGCGGGTTTTGTCTTCCTGACATGTCAGCTGTCCACGGCCCAAGCTCTGAACCATCTCAGACAATCTCTCTGTTCTCTTAATAAGCACCTACCTACATGTTGCGTGGACGTGTGTTTTGTTTTCTCGTTGCATTCAGGGATGGCTTCGACTGACAATCTATTTGTCGTTAGGAACCTGGGAGCCTCATCGGGACTCCCTGTTAACGAAACAACTTTTGCATCCTTGGTCAAGGAGCAAGGATACAGCACGGCCATCATCGGTAAGAAGCTGTGGTTCTCAGTGCCCTCTCCCAAACTGCCATGTTCCAGCTTCGTTCACCCGGGACCTGGCGTGGCAATGCCCCCTTCACATGCACAGACACACACACACACATCTCGGAATGATACCTGCCCGTGTGTCTCAGACATGCTGCCCGACCCCTTGCCACCGAGGTGGCAGGGCTTCCCAGGTATGCTTCTGCAAACACACTCCATGGGAATGACCTAGGATGGGACTTTGTTTCCCCACAGTTCTTCACCAATGCAGAAATCCTGCATCTCCTCCACCTGGTGTCATTTAAGATGTGTGGCGGGTCCTCCCAGGCACACACAAAATAGGCTGGGCATCCTTAGCTTTTCACGGAGGGTCGAGCTTTGCTTCCGTAGACATGTCCGCAGCCTGGGGCACCCAAACAGGAGAAGAAGCATGTGTTTTGCTCGGAAAGTTCCCCCGTGATCCTGTGCCATCCATTCTTTGACTTAGTGCCTGCCTTCCTCCAGACCCAGAGCTCCAGAAGGTGAACTCCCAGGAGAAAAGCGTGGGGCCCCTTGGTGGCCATGACCATGGTCTCAGGTTCGTTTCATGGTAGGGACAGGGCTCGGCACACTGATGGAATCCCTGATATTTATGGGCAGAAGAAACAGCCAAGAATTGTGCATGTCTCAAAGGTGGGAGACCAGGGAGTCGGTGCTTTGCAAACCTGAGTGACTGATATGTGTTGTGGATAACACAGTGGTTGGTCCGTAAAGTCGAAGTACCTGAGTCCTTCCCTGTCTTCTCATCAGCCTCATGATTCCACTGAAGCAGACCCTGTGCATTTTCTCACCCTCATGGACCAACGTGACGGAAAGGAATGAACGATGGCCCTTCTGCCGTGAAACCTGCTGCTCCTATTTGAGGGGATCGGCATGACACTTAACCATGCTTTTTTTTTGAAGTCCCTTCCATTTTTGTAGTCACTTTCACAAGGATAAAGAAGACCATCTTAGTTCTGTTTTAGAACAGAAAAGCCCGCCTCAGGGGCATGACCTCCTGTCTGCCGAGCCCCGAGGCAGTGAGAGATGTCCGTCCACGCCTTCGGGTGTGGACCTGCAGGCCACTGCTAATGGATTAGAGACACACATGGGCATATTGTCTTAGTCACAATGACAGCACCACGTGGGTCACTTGGTTCCTGTTGAAGGGGGGGCAAGTGTTACCGAGGAAGCGTTTTACTGTAATGATGTTTAGTGCCAGACCTTTGGATTAGCGTCGGCCAGCTGTCCCCTCACATGTTTCTCCATGAACGGTCAGTTCTCTCCACCACGTATGCACACCTGTCTATCATCTGTGCATTCAGCCACTCACCCACCTGGCTGGCTATCGATCTACCTATCTACCTACCTATCTCGTCACCCAGTGACCCAATCCATGCATCCGTTCATCCATCCATCATCTTTGTCTGTCTATCCTCTCTCTCTCTTTCTACTGCCCATCCACTCATTATCTACATATTTATTTCTCATGCACCATCTATGTTTTGTCTGTTTTTTGTTTATCTTTACGGCCATAGCTTACATTGGTCCGTCTACCTACCTAATTACTTGTTTGTTTATCTACATACCCATCTATTTATCCGCCCATTTACCATTCATCTATGTATCTATCTATCTATCTATCTATCTATAATTTCTGTCTCTCTGCATCCGTTCATTCATCCACTGACTCATCCATCCCCCTTCATTGAGTCTCTCTGTATATATCACAGGCGGCAAACACAAGGCCCGTGGGCCGAATCCAGCCCTCCACCTTGTTTTATCCGTTCCAGTACCTTGTTCCTACCTGGCAGCAGTGCCGAGCTCTCACTTACCTGTTAAGTGGTTATGTGTACAGGCTCCTAAATTGACATTTGGCCCTTTGAAGGCACCTGTGAGGCTGATGTGGCCCCTGGTGAAAATGAGGTTGACACCTCTGGTTATCGTTTCTATCTACTTACCTACCTACCTACCTGCCCATCACCTGTACTCACCTTGGCTCTATGTTGCAACTGTGTTTGTGGCTGTGACTTGTCCTCTTGTGCATGAGAGACTGCCTGGCTCCCATCCTTGCTAGACACTTCCGGTCCTCTTTTCCTCCTTTTATTTTTTCATCCTCCTTGGTCACTCACAACCGGGTCCTGAGACCAACAACGTGCCCATGAAAGAAGAGAAAACACTGAGTGTCTGCAAAACCCCGAGTTTTGAGGAACAGAGAAGTACTTGCCACTGCACGTGTGTGTATTGGCCGATGATTTCCAAGGGGAAAATGATGCTGGGGTTTCTGCATTATGTGAGCCTGTCCTGTGTGACGTGCCTGTGTTTTGTTTCAGGAAAGTGGCACCAGGGATTAAACTGCCAGTCCCGCACCGACCACTGCCACCATCCGCACAACTACGGGTTTGATTACTTCTACGGCATGCCGTTCTCTATGGATTTGTCATGCTGGCCGGACCCCTCCAGGGATGTGGAGTTAGCCCTCGGGAGCTACCTGTGGTTCTGCGTGCAGCTTCTGACCGCCGGTGTGGTCGCCTGCACTGTAGGGAAGCTGGCGCGCTTGATAAGTGTCCCCTGGTCCCTCATCCTCTTTGCGGGCATGTTCGTTTATCTCCTGGGCTACTTTTGGTTCCAAAGTTTGGAGGCACGGTCCGCCCTGTACAGGGACTGCATCCTCATGCGGCAGCAAATGATCTCTGAGCAGCCACTGAAGGCACAGCGGGCAGGGACCATCATGGTGGACGAGGCCATTTCATTTTTAGAAAGGTACACTGGATTTGGTCTCACATTCGGGTGGTGATAAGACAAGGAGTATTTTTTAAAAAGCAGAGCCGTTGCCCTTGGCTGGGGGCCTCTGGGCATTCCAGTGTCGCCCGGTGCCCCAGAACTTTGCAGGTTCAATCCACAGTCAGGACGTGTGTGTAGGTCGCAGGTTCAATCCCTGGTTGGGGCACATATGGAAGGCAGCTGATCGATGTTTCTTTGTCATTAAGTATTTTCATCTCCAGAGACCCCATATTCAAATAAGGTCACGGTAGGAGTTTTTATGCGGGTGATTTTAGCTGGACACCATTCAACCTACTAACCCAAGGCACACACTTTTTTTTTAGTTGATTTTTCCCCCCCTTCTTTCCCCACTGATATCTCATCAGAAATTCCCAAGCCTGGCGTTGTGTTATGGGCCAGCCCAGCTCACTGAGCACCCATTTCCTGGGACACATGGTCAGGACTTCAAGGGGCTGAGCTCACTCCCTGTGTCCGCACATGGAACCCACGGCCTGTGGGCAGCTGTATGAGGAGTTTCAGCCCAGGCTCACTGTTGGGTTGTTAAAGGGCTGATGTTTCAAAGAAACCGCTTCTGTGACACCCTCTCTTATGGGTGTGAGTCCAGACAGAGACTCTGTGAGTTGGGAGGAAAAGGTGCCAAGCAGAGTGGAATTTCAGTGATAATGGTGTGGTCACCCCTGAGTGCACCCTGTGTCCTGGCATCTGACAGGGACCATAGTGGCTTCACCCAGAAACTGGGGACAGAGTCCAGGCCCCGCAGGGTCCTGGAAGCCACTCCAAAGTGCTGCCTTGGGCATGTGTCCCCTGCCATGGGTCACGGAGACGTGTGTGTGTGTGTGTGTGTGTGTGCGTGTCCGAGAAAAGTGTGGGTCGTGTTTGCAGGAGCCGAGAACTCAAGTGTGGTGCAATCGGTGTTTTCCCAGGCACCGGCAGCAGCCTTTCCTCCTGTTCTTCTCCTTCCTGCACGTCCACATGCCTCTTCCCACGACCACAGATTTCCTGGGGACCAGCAGGCACGGCTTGTACGGAGATAACGTGCAGGAGATGGACTTCTTCGTGGGTGAGTGGAGGGCGTGTGTAGCCCACACGTCTGTGTCCGGGCAGCTCAGGGCTCTCCCAAACTGTCCCTGCTGGCTTTGGGCACGGCCCTGTGAGGCCTGAGCAAGGTTCTCCTCTCCTGGCAGCCTTGGTGTCTGATGTAGATGATGGAACACATCCAAACATGGGCCACAGAGACCTAAATCCAGCGTCCTCACTGGGTCGCCATCTGCTACTTCCCAAACCAGTTTGAGCACTTTCTTATGTCTCCAAAGGCAGTGCGATCTCAACTCAGATCTTGGTGTTTGGAGAAAGAACGCAGCTTTACTTCAGGTTCCTAGGTACTAAGACCCGAATGTGGGGTTGGTAAGCCAGAATCCAAACCCTGATAAACTAATACCACCCAGGGAGATAAGCATGTGTGAAGAGAATCTCCACCAGGGAGATTCTCTAAGATCCAGGGACTAATGAATCAAATTAGACTTGATGATTGCAACACGATTAACAGCGAGTATTTGCCGGACACAAACACAAGTTAGACTAAATCCCTGTGAGGTTAGATGTAGAGTAAATATAGATCATCAATACATATGATAAATATAGGATATTGGCACGAGGTATAGTTCAGTCTATGAAGACATACGAAGTCAAACTTGATCAAAGGAAAGATGTGAAATGCTGTAGATTCCCAGCCTTCAAAGTACAGAAAACATTTTAAAAATCAGCTTACACATAAAGACTATTTTCATCCAGTATATGACCCACGCATCCATTTCTGTACGTGATGATGTGTGTGGTTTGCATGTGAATGTCCTTTTTCCCCAGGACAGCACCACACAGCATGTTCTCATGAGTGCTTGTCCCTCCATCACCAGGTCTTGATTCGCCGTATTCACCTCGTGGTCTTTCGAAGGGCGTGACAGAGCCCCCCCCAGGACCTAGCCATGATGACCCACAATAAAACCACTCACAGTGCGCTTCCAAATTTTAGGGCGATGATGTGTTTTTGAAATACCTCAGTTAATAAGAGCAAAGGTGTGGTGTCAATGCTGCTGAGGAGGGGTTTCGGGGGTCAGTGAGTTTCCGTGGGTTTTCCTCAGACGATGCTGCCCAGATGGATGTCTGGAATGTGGAGGACAAGCCATTGTGTTTAAAAGTCCCATTTGCCAAAAGCACAGCTGAGATGTGCCTATGAGCCATTGGCGCTCTCTGGCTTTGCCTGTTGTGTTTGTCCGGCCAGAACTGCGTTTTGGGGAAGAATCATCATCTACGTGCCTAGGCCCCTGCCTCCACACTCAAAAAGTTTGTTTATCTGCGGAACCCATCCCAGTCCCCCCGGTCCTAGAACTGCTGGTTCTTTATTAGGTTGCTTTGCCGACATTCATGGCCAACGTTCACATGCGGCCATGAACGTGGCTTTCCTGAGGCAACCCCACGGACCTCCGATCCCTTCATGGAATGCACACTTCCACACGGGGCAGTTACTTTGAGACATGCGCTATTTCAAGGGCGACCGGGATGGATCGCCATGAACATTCTAGGAGGCAGGTAGCATGTTCTTCACCAGCACCATGCCCCTGAACAGATGAGGACACTTTGACCGTCCATTGACCGTAACCCCCTCTTCGACTCCTGATGGTGAAGGAAGTTAAGGAACATGCCCGCTCACAGGCCATCTTTGGAGTGGAAAACACAGGGTGCTGTAGACTCCCAAAGGAACATACAGGTGCTGGGACCCACGGGGGTGCTCAAAGTCGTACCGTCACTTGAGTTATGGGTCTGTTTTCCTCCTTGTTTCAGGCAAGCTTCTTGCAGCCATTGACGATTTGGGGCTGAGGAACCGGACCGTTGTCTACTTTGCATCAGACCACGGAGGGCACCTGGAGGCCAGGCTGGGCAAGATGCAGCTTGGCGGGTGGAATGGCATATTCAAAGGTGGGGATGGAGATCCTACCTGGTGCGGGTTTCGGGAAAGGGTCTCTGGTGTTCGCCGTGGTGTGGAAGATAAGCCGAATGCATGCCACTCTCAACAGGGATCTTTTACTGGATGCTTGGTTAAAATAAAGGGTAGAGCCCTGGCCAGGTGGCTCAGTTGGGTAGAGCACCATTCTGTAACTAAGGGGTCATGGGTTCGATTTTCAATTGGGGCACATACCGAAATTGTGGGTTTGGTCTGTGGTCAGGATGAGTACAGGAACCAATCACTTGATGTTCCTGTCTCACATCAATGTTTCTCTCTCCCCATATCTCTCTTAAAGCAATACAAAAAAAAAAGTCCTTGGGTAAGGATAAAAAATTAAATACAGTCATAATTGAGAAAGTGCCTTTGAGCAAAAATCTATCAGCAGCCCAAGAAAATAGTGTTGTGTGCATACATTCAGCAGGGCTTTGCAGACAGCGGTCATGGAGGAGACACTGATTTTCTGGATGTCAATTTATCATTTCGAACACCCTTCTCCCAGGGACTCTTCTAACTGGAACTTTCTTGCTTCGCCCTGTAGGTGGGAAGTGCATGGGCGGCTGGGAAGGCGGCATCCGTGTCCCTGGCCTCTTCCGATGGCCCGGAAAATTGCAGGCTGGGAAAGTCATCCATGAGCCTACCAGCTTGATGGATATCTTCCCGACGATAGCAGCTTTGACCGGAGGGACGGTCCCTCAGGACAGGTGACATCGAGATGATGTGTTAACAGAGACTTTTTCTAGCTCTGTCTCAAGAAGACTCAGGTCCAAGGAGACCAACTCTATCCTAACAGGAGTACTTTGCACCCCTGCACCCGGGCAGTGGTGTCTGTTGAGTGGTATTCAGGCAGCAGGATTGATGTTACACAGGTGTGATCCTTCATGGACCCTTTGCAGATTTTATTTGGGAGGGAGATACAGACAGGAAGGTTTGGGCATGAGGCGACAAGCCAACGCACTCATTCATGTAAGGAAAAAAAAATCCACAATTCCCCAATCTTCACTGTTCCAGGTCTAGAGGCAGAGGGTCAGGAAAGTCATTTGCTGGATATTTTGAAGCACATCATACATATTTTGAATTTTGTTATATTGCATTATTCCGCACCCTGACACCTATTGACGTAGATCGGTTTGGAGCTGATTCTTCTGATATTTCACTGATAAAAGCTTTGTGAAGGGACTGCAATAGACCCAACTGACTTTCATTTTTTCCTTCTACACCCAAGCACCTATTTTAATGTCTCTTTCTTCCTGGAATGCAGCCGATCTCATTCTGGAGTGAAGGATGATCTGAAAGGTAGCTAGAAGCCAGAGGAGTTGAGTTCAAATGTTTAATATTAGTTTGGGCCCAGGAAGGATTTACAGGGAGTTTGTATCAGATAAGAGCCGTATAGAGCTCCCTACTTAGAGGAAGAGTATTTATCAATGTCAGCTAACATTGAATTCATGATCTTGATAAAGGTACCACTTAGTTCCAGGAGACTGGGAGGGATTATCTATAAAGACAATGATTTTATGATCATTTTTAGGATGATCTGGGCCTTATTGTTCTGTTTTGTCCGATGAGGTGGGTTTTTATAAGTATTGTTTTCTAATGTGAGGTATCAGGTAGATTTTCAGATATAAGATAAAAGGTAGCACTGGCCAGGTAACTCAGGTGGTCGGAGCATCCTCCCGATACACCAAGGTTGTGAGTTTGATTCCTGGTCCTGGCACATGCAAGAATCAACCAATGATGCATCAGTAAGTGCAACAACCCATTGACATCTCTCTCCCTCTCATATTCTCAAATCACTTAAACCTTATGAAAAATGCCCGAGATAAAATGTATACAACTTTGTAGAGAGTGTATTAACATTTTTTGGAAGGCTAGTAACACAGTTGTCAAAAACTGAGGGTATTTTTCTTTTTCTTTTGTTCTGGTCTCTCTGGGAGCATGAATGACTATCTCTACATCTTCAGTACACTGTTCTCTGGACCCTGGGAGTGGACCACTATTCACACATCCTGATGGCCTTTGATTTGTTTATTTTGTTGCTTTATCTTCTTTGTGTGTGTACAGGGTGATTGATGGCCGAAACCTCATGCCCTTGCTTCGGGGTGAGGTCGTGCATTCGGAGCATGAGTTCCTGTTTCACTACTGTGACGCGTACCTCCACGCCGTCCGCTGGCACCCCGTGGACAGTAAGTACCTTGGCCCAGGTGCCCCACAGAGAACAGGAGGAGGGGCCCTTCTGCTGATCCTCAGTCCTTCCTTGCTTCCATCCCCCTGCCGATCCCTTTTAGTTGAGCATTGCCACAAAAATACCGTCTCTGTAAAGGTCCTGAGAATTGCTCTTTGTTGGAAAGGCAGGAAGATAAACTAGAAGAAATAGCAATGTTGAGGTCTGGTCAGGTGGCGTATGGGGTTGGAACATCATCCTGTACACCACAGGGTTGTGGGTTCAACTCCCAGTCAAGGCACATACCGATCCCTAGTCAGGGTGCACACAGCAGGCAACCGATGGCTGGTCCCCTCTGTCCCTGTCCCTTCCTCTCCTCCTCCTCCTCCCCTTCTCTCTAAAATGAATAACTTACCTCAAGTGAGGATTTTAGAAAACTGACTGACTAAAGAAATCAATGACAATTTTGAGAAACAGAACTAATTGCAGCTGCCAAAGACGTATAATGATATCGGAGGGGGTTCTGATCTTCTGAAGATTGATTGATATATAAATAAATTTGGGATCAAAGACAAGGACCAGGAAAGGCTCAGGAAGGTACTGGCAGACAAAGGGAATGAGCTCGTAGCTGGCACGTGTCTCCTATGTTGTTCGTTGTCCAGGTGAGGCCGTGTGGAAGGTTCATTATGTGACCCCCGTGTTCCAGCCGCCGGGAGCCCAGGCCTGCTATGAGACCTACTTTTGTGAATGCGTAGGGAAAAATGTCACCTACCATGACCCGCCACTGCTCTTTGATCTGTCCCGGGACCCCTCCGAGTCCACCCCGCTGACCAACGCCACGGAGCCCCTCTATGATCTGGTGATCGCGACGGCCTCCGAGGCCGTCAAAGAACACAGAAAAACTATCATCCCCGTGGAATTACAGCTTAATTACGAGCGGAACCATGACCATGTGTGGCTGAGGCCCTGCTGCGGGGTGTTCCCTTTCTGTTTGTGTGACAACGAGGACACATGGTCATCCAAGAAACAACAGGTTGAGAGCAGGCCTTCAAAGGACGCCAACACAGGCACTTTTGAATAGGCAAGGGGTGGATTTGAGAGCCAAGAAATTCATGTAGCGTTCCAGATTATTAAGTGCCAATTGTGCCTTGGTTGGGCGGCTCAGTGGGTTGGAGCATCATTCTGGAGATCAAAATGTTGCAGGTTCAGTGCCTGGTCAGGGCACATATCTTGGTTGTGGGTTTGGTCCTGGGACAGACTATGTACGGGACACAATGGACTAATGTCTCTCTCTCTATCTCTTTCTCTCTCTGTGTCCTACCCGCTCACTCTAAAAATCAATAAACATAGCCTCAGATAAGCCAAAAATAAATAAAGGAAAATAAATGTCCATTGGTTGGGGATTATTAAATAATAAATACTATCCATTAATGTTTAGGGAGAGTCTCCGTGCTAAATCTTTATCTGATTTCCAAGGTTGGAAACCTGGTTTTCCCTGTTAGCAAGCGAGCCTTCATCATTATTTTTCTCACTGGCTCTGTTGGTCTCCTAAGCAAAATGCATAAGCAAAGACCTGCATGAATGAAAGTCAATGAGGGGGAGAAACAAAAATCCTCTCATGTGCATAGCGATGAAAATTGAAAATTTCAATGCATCGAAAATATCGCCGATTCTCCTTTGGTTACGGTGCAGTTCTGTCTCAATGAACCCGTTATAAGTTGATGATATCATAAGTTGAAAATGCATTAAACACACACAATGTCCCAAGCATCATAGCTTAGCCCACCCTGCCTATAACATGTTCAGAACACCCCCCTTAGCCTACAGCTAGGCAATGGTCTCACGTCCCCTCTGAAGAGTAATCAGGTCCTTTCTGTTTGCACCAGAAGCAAGAGACTTCTGGTCTCCTTCTATCACCATTCACCCCCCATTACCCTCCTCTACCTCCCGCACCCCACTTCCCTCTGGTAATCGCCAAACTCTTGCGTATGTGTACGAGTCTGGGGCGCTTTTTTTTTGCATAATCCCTTCACCTTTTTCCCCCAGCTCCCCAACACCCTCCCTTCCGACAGCTGTCAGTCTGTTCTCTGCAGCTGTGGGCCTGTTTCTACTTTGTTTGGCAGTTTAGGTGGTTCGTTAGATACTAGAAAAAAGTGCAATTTCTCTGGCTGGCTTGTTTCACTTAGCACAATGCTCTCCAGGTCCATCCACACTCTCACAAAAGGTAGGAGTTCCTTTTTATGGCTGCGTAGTATTCCTTTGTGTAAATAGCACCATGTGGATGTCTGATACTCTGGAAGTCTCCACAATGGTTGATAAAACATTGTCGACATCAAGGAGATCCCTAAGGGCAAGCAGAACTGGAAATTTTTTTAAAAAATCCAATCCAGAAAAGACACCTGCATTGATTTTTGTTAGCTTAATTTTTATCCCTCAGACTTGCTGAGTGACCACCTTGGCCCCACTGGCCACAGAAGGGCACCTAATAGAGACCTTGGTGTTTCTCGGCCTGTCCTCTCTGCAAGATCACTGACACAGCATTTCTGAAGTCACAGACCTGATTGGAAGGTTCTTTTTGAATTCACGGTATTCTCGAACAGAGCCCAAGAAACTGAGGTTGGAAAGGGCATTCTGAGATTGTCCCTTGCCACGCCCTATTCTACTGATGAAGACATCACCCAGGTATGGATCAAGGCCCTGAGCTAACGATGAACCAGCAGGTGGAAATCCTAACAGGAGACGACCACCTCACACCTTTCCCCCCATTTCACTTTCTTCACTTCCATGTGACACAGGAGGCTGTTAAGAAAAAGCAAGATACTGGGCTGGCTGAAAACTTCATTTTCCCCCCATACACTTGCTTGTTGTCACCTTCATTTCAAACAGTTTTGTGTCATTATATTGTGACAGCTGTCCTATCTGTGTGCCTTTTAAAAAAAGAACATCAGCATTGGTGAGTTTGGGGGCAGTCATTTTAATATTGAAGATAGAAGAAGAAGATAGGCCATATTTTCAAGATATCATGTTTTATTATTTCAAGAAAGGTAAAAACACAGCTGAAACACACACTAAAAAGATTTGTGCCATGCATAGGGAAGGTGATTGAGTGATGGGATGTGTCAAAGGTGGTTTGCAAAGTTTCATGCTGGAGATTTCTCACTGAACGGTGCTCCATGGTCAGGTAGACCCATTGAAGTTGATCGTGATCCAATCAAGACATTCATTGAGAAAAATCAATGTTCTACCACACAGAAGAAAGCTGACCTACTCAAAAATATCCAAATCAATAAAGTATTAGTGCCAATGAAAAAGATGTCTTTCTTTTTACAGAAAAAAAACGAAACGGACTTTTTGGCCAATCCAATACCAACAGTCAAAGAAGCACTTTTCTGCACAGTGGTATCCCCAGCGATGAAAAGCAACCCAGTGTCTAGGGGTGGACAGTCTGAATTCTTTAGCAGTAGGGCTTCTGCTCGCTGGGGGATTGGGGACGGCTGTCTGTCATATCTGTGTTGCCATTGTTCCATTCACAAAACGCCCGTGGATAATTGTGCACACCTCACGAGATTTTTGTTTGGATTCGTGGAGAAAGTGCCTAGGGAAATGTTTAACACACAGCGCCATGAGGAGCACTCCATAAACAAATTTGCTTCTTTTGTTAGTTGTTTTTGCAAAAGATCTTACTGTGAAAATTAAGGGACTAGGAGACCTGGGAGACTGTGTGTGTTTTGTTCCAGAACATGGCAATAAAACAAGTATCACTGTAAAAGCAGTCACACATTTTAAAAAAATTTTCATTGCATATAAAAGTTATTTATATGTACATTCCACTGTAGTCTGTTAAGTGTACAATGGAGTTACATTTGTAAAAACAATGTAGATGCTTAATTACAGTACACTTTATTTCCAAAAACTACCAGCCCCCATCCGAGCCTTCAGTGAATCCTAATGTTTTTGCTAGTGAAGGGTGTTACCTTCAATTTATATAAAAAATACAATATGTGTAAAGCACAAAAAAGCAATGTATAATACACAACGTATGCCTGTATCCTATGTATTAAAACAACAGAGACCTTTGCTCTTTCTCCAGGAACTGCCAACTGGATAATTAATTAGCCATGAACCCAAGTGAAGTTATAAATGATAAAATTTCGCCTCCATGCATAGTGAGTTACTATTACGTTCTGTGTTGACCTTGGAGAAAGTTATGTGTATGGGGGGGCGTGTATGGGACATCTCTTTATGTATCTTTCCATATAGCTGTGAACATAAAGCTACTCAAGACAGGTCTTTATATGCAAAAATTCCTTCTGGTGCCCATTAGTAACATGGCATAATCTAAGCCTTATTGAGCATTAGATGTATTTAATCTTTCAACTCATGAAACCACTAGGGGTCATTCTAATATAGCTGGCCGAGTAGCTGACTGACAACTCCTACCAAGAACAACTTTTTAAATGTGTATACATTTCTACCGAAGGTCTCCAACGTTGAAACTCCAGCCCAAACAAGAAATTGGCAAGAGACACACACTCTTTCCCACCTATTCTTTTGACTGGGTCAATAAATTAGCCCCATCGGCCTTATGGGATGGGGAGAATTCGGAGACGCTGTTCCAATGGTAGTGACTTTGCTGTGATATTACTTTTCTGGCAGGAGTAGCTAAATGCAAACCCTTGAGGAAGGCAAGCAGAGACAGTGGGAACACTGAAAGCCCATAATTTATCATCTGGGTTTTCCTAGGCCATCCTACACTGATCACAGGTATTTACGGTGTCATGAACTCACCCATTCTGCAAATGGCAAGCATGGATTGGGCACCTAGAAAAATCCAGGGACTGAGTTGAATGCGCAGTGAAGAGCTATGCTTTCCTTTGTCCTGAGATCCCATTGTTCCAGGTGGGAGATGGAGATGGAGATAAGAGAGAGAGAGAGAGTTGAAGGTGAGCTACACACTCAATTGTAATCAAAGACAAATAATCACAATACGCTTCAGAGGCATCGATATCTACTCTTCCTTTCTTCGACTATCACTTATCTAAGGGAACCATGCCTCTCCCCAAAGTGGCATCGTGAAATCCAAATGTTTGGGGACATTGCGAGGCAAGTGGGATTCAGGACCCAGTCCTCCCTTGCATTGGGATGGACTGGCAGGTGGGAAAGACCTGTCAAGGTATAAGGTCATGGGAACTCTGCTTTTGGGGTCAGCAGGTGGCTCCCAGGACCCAGCTTCTGGCCGAGGGAGTTTCCTTAACATGGGCACAGAAGCCAGTGGGAGAGACAAGCAACCTGAGTGACCAAGAACTCCTGTGTGGGTGGGTTCACAGAGCACCTCCAACTGCAGGGCCTTTGGCAATAAGCTGTTGGGAGGACAACTTTCGGTGGCGGTAACGGAGTGACGGGCATTTTCCTGTGGAACTTGGCAGCCTAGGCATTGGGACGGAAAACAAGAATTTTTGATTTAGAAGACTCACTGCCATGGCCAAACTCAATTTTCCATTGCATGGCTTCGGGTACTTTTTTTTTCAATTACAGTTTCCATTGGATATTATTTTGTATTAGTTTCAGGGGTACACATAGTGATTAGACCATCCTATATTTTGCAAAATGATTCCCCTGATATTTCCAGAACTGGCCTGGCACCCTACAGTGTTATTACAATATTATTGACTATGGTCCCTCTCTGTGCTTTGTGCCTGTTTTATTTCTACCAATCTGCACTCCTTCATTTCTTTTCTTCCTTCACCCAGCTCCCCAATGCCCTTCCGCTCTCGGGGAAGAGACCCAGTGAAGTTTGTGACTCTGACGCATGTCCTGACGTCACCCAACCACCAAACCTGCCGGTCGCCTCCTAGCCTCCTGACCATTTATTTCCAGGTCCTCTGAAGTTTCTGCTGCCAACTGTTTGTACAAAACGGGCATCCATGCTCGATCCAAAATTGAAAAGAAATGAAGACGTTTTGTAGACAGTGACTACGTATACAGACCTACCTGTCTAAATTATCTGTGGGGGGAAGAGAGAAAGTACAGGAGGGGGGTGAAAGCTGTTTCATTGCAATCTCTACAACTCTTTGGGCTTGG